GGGTAAAGGGAAACAACAATCCATGCAGAAATCTTGGGATGGGAAAAAGTGTGGCAAGTTTTAGGAGAAGACAGTAGAGCAGCTTGGCTGGAGCAGAGGATGTCTAATGTGGATACAGGCATGATATAAATTTGGAGATAGAAGTCAGCAGCACACCATGCGGAGCTTTCACTGCCTCTAGCCTCTACTGTTGATTTTAAGGAAGAAAAAGTTTAAGGGATAATTTTAAAAACCTGATTCCTCTCCTTTTGTCAATATAGGAGCACTTACGTAGGATGTGAGTAGAAAGAAAACACATGGAAAGAAAATCCTCTGAAATCAGGATAGATCCCAGCATAATTTTGGAAGCTCCTTATATTTATAAAATTAAATTTAACAAGTAAGATTTCCTAATGTTTATAAAATAAAAGGTAGTCCAAGTGTGATATATTGCTTCCCTGTCTTCTAAATATAAAATAAAAATTTTTTTAAGTTAGTAAAATAAACTATCCTTCTTCTCCCTCAGTCTACTAGACACTGTTTTCTCAGCCTGGAATATTTCCACTCCTAGTGCCATCACCCCATAATCCAACCAGCTTCAACTTTTCTAGCCCATTCAGGCATTAAGCATACAAATCCTTCCTAACCCTACACTCTGAGCTAAGTATGTCCTCTCATGCTCAAGGAACTGTGTAAACTGGAATACATTAGAATTACTGTGTTTATACCATATAGATCTACTAAACAGAAACTTGATAGAGGTTTTCCCAAAATTGACAATGGTCCTAAAAGTTTGCTGACCTTACCAACAATGAGAAATGAAGCTGAGAAAAAAAAAAATCTAAACTATTAGACATGCCTCCAAACCAATGTCATCATCATGCTAGAGGAGTCTAAATTATCTCTACAGTCTCCTTACAGACAATGATACTATAGAATTTTCAGAAGAATCAATTGAAGATTATACAGCCAAAATTGTACAAAGAAATGTATTAGAGAGATTTGTCACATAGTTAATGATAAATGTCAGATAGTTAATTTTACATTGTTTTCCTGAATGTCAGATTCTTTGTTTTATTTGTTAGCTTTAAAATTATGTGATTGCTTTTGACTGATTTGTTCATTCTAAGTGCACTTTTGTAGCCAAATTTTTAGTTATAATTTCATAATCTTTTTAATATCAAAAATTCCCAAATTTACAAGTTTCAAGCCTAAAAGGTTGTCTGACTCTGCTTGTACTGACAACAAATTATCAATTCTGCTTAAAATTTTGTTTTGAATTGTGATTTAGAAAACCATTTATATACCTCAGACATAAATTAAATTGTGAAATGTTGAGTTCAAAAACATTGAAAAATACATGAGCATAGGTAGATGTTTATATATTACCTTACATAGTAACTAATCTTAAACTAAGAGTTTGAACATACTATGACCTATGCATCCTATGACACCTTTAATTGTAAGCTTTTGTGACCAGTTCTTATTCTTGAAAAATTTAGACTAAGTGGATGATAATTGCATGATTATTCAAATTCTCAAAAAAAAGCAACAAAAGAGACATTTCCTGATATAAGATTATATATCATAAATTATAGTGCTTAAGTGGATGATTTTTTTTTCTTAGTAAACCATTCAGTGCAGTCAACTTAATCCATCAAAAGAGGGAGCATGGGGCTAATGGAGGGTAGAAAGAGGTGGGGAGAAAGCAGACACTAGTTTCTTCATATTACATTGAAGGGCTTTTATTGCTGTTTAGCAATAAGACAGTCCAGTAATAAGGAATTCTGTTATATTCATATGTCGATATGTTTTATACATCTACTTTTCTATTTTCTTGCGCATTTTCTCTCTTTTTGTGACTCCTTTAAGTATAATTCTCTTAGCTTCTTTGGTACATCCTCAAGCGTCTTTGAAAAAGATGATGTCATGGGAAACATCCACTAGAAATGAAAGTCCAAGTCTTAGCCAGCTAAGCAGATAAGAGCCTATAAAAATGCTACATCATTTTATTCCAACAGAATAGAATTGCAGCATAGATTTGTCTTTTAATCGTTCTAAGTAACATATTATGGAGATGATATAGACTAAACACAAGTAGTGCTAAAATAAATTCTATAAGTAGTTCTGGCAGCGTAATAGTTACTTTCCTAGCCAGCTTAGCTGTGTACATAATGGGGGTGGCTGTGGCTTCTGCTGAGGCTCTTCACACTCAGAGCTGCAGCTTATGGTGGGGAAAATGAAGGCCAAAAAGTAGAGAGCAGAGAAGATATGCTGAATGTAAAAAAGGAAGGTGCAGGTAGCTATTTAAGACCCAAGATATTTTATTATGTAAACTTAAATAAGAAGAAAATAGTCTTAGAAAATAATTCCTGACAGAGAAATTTGGAAAGCCACTATACTGAAATTTTAAGTAGACTTAACCAGACATCTGAAGCCCTAATATTTATAAGCATATCATTGCATTTTATATATTAATAAAATAATTCTCTTGATACCTATGTTGTCTCTCAAATCTAAAATGAAAACAACTTGTGTAAAAACCCATATACCTAGAACACTGGTTTGACATTAGTTCTTTTCTACTTAAATAAAATTATATCCTACGATTTAAAATGGCATTCATTTTTAGTCATTTTGATACTGTATACTATTGATTGGTGTTTACCCTGAATAAGAATCATGTGGTATAATGGGGAAGCAATTTCTGCAAATATATTACCTCTTTAATTCAAAACATTGTTTATATACAACTGTGATAACAACTGGAGTAGCTTTAGAGAAGTAGGTCACTTGGTCTTAACCCCTAGGGTTCTGAAACAAATTAAAGATACAAGAGTTTGCTTGCCCTAAATTGAGTATGAGTGCAGCAGTTGAAGAAGGTCCCAATATGTTTATGGTTTTATTAGAATACTTGCAGGAAACATAAACCTATTCAAATAGAGGCATTTTTTAAAGTCTGGAGAATTTCCAGTGGGTAGAGAGTTCTAGGAAAAAATCAAAACACTGGATTATCTGAACATCTAGGCCTCCAGAAGTCAAGAATCAAGTCAGTTCAGGGAAGTTTATCTGCGGCAATGTGTGGTGGCCACTCATGCTGGCTCCCTGACACTAATGTGACTTAGCTATCTTCATATGCTAGTTTCTTACCATCCTGCCACATTCTCCAGAGTCCTAGCAGAAGTCTCTAATTGACTCTCTGTCCATAGTATGGATTGGTTATACCTGTTGGGTTAGGTGCAAGCTGTAGTAGTCTGAGAGGCAAGGTCTTTTAGTATACTGGACTAACTTGCTAGATGGGAACTGTAAGCATAGCGGGTCAAGCTGGGAAAGAATTTCAAGCATAGTAGATGGCTGATATATTGAGTAAGGGCTTAATCCATAAGCTCATAAGGGGAGCAGTTCTGTTTGATGAAAGATCCATAGAAGGCATCATGGAAGAGATGCATTTAAATAGGATTGTAGAGGTTGAGTTGTAATTAGCTATCAAGTAAATAGGTGAAGAAGGAGAGTACTCTAGGTAGTGAAGCAATTTGAGCAAAATGGTACAGGTTTATGCTTGGCACTCAGGTAGATCAGTCTGGCTCAGCAATTCTCACTGTAGCTGCCCTGAATCATCTGAGCAGCCCATGTGGATGCCTGGGCTCCAGTCTAGACAAATTGAAACAGAATCTCTGGGGTTTGTGGTCAGAGATATGCAGTTTCTTAACCTACTCCAGATGATTCTAATGCAAAGACTATTGAGAACCACTGAATGAATGTCTAGAGACTACAATACTTTGTGAGTTTATGAAGTATAGTTGGAAAAGGATGTTTGAACATGACTGGGGACTCATATATCAGGCTAAGGACTTTTTTAACTGTATTCTATAAGTAATAGCACTAGAATGCACTATTTTATTAGTTTCCACTCTTTTATGAGCCCAGTACAGTTGGATCTATTTAGAGTTCTTTCAGTTCAGTAGATGGGGGTAGGAGGAGTGAGTAGGTTATAGGATCTAGGCGTATGTCACTTAGATAGCTCATGGTGCTCATTAAAAATACTGTTTATCTAGTAGCTCCATTAAAAATAGGCAAAAGACATGAAGAGGCATTTCTGAAAAGAAGACATGTAAGCAGCCAACAAACATACTGAAAAATGCTCCACATCACTAATCATCAGAGAAATGGAAATAGATACTATCTCACACCAGTCAGAATGGCTATTATCAAAAAGTCAAAAACAAACAAACAAACAAACCCACAGATGCTGGCAAGGCTACAGAGAAAAGGGAATGCTCATACACTGTTGGTGAGAATGTATAATAAATTAGTTCAGCCACTGTGGAAAACAAGTTGGAGATTTCTCAAAGAACTTAGAACTATCATGCAACCCAGCAATATCATTACTAGGCATATATCTGAAAGAAAACAAATCATTCTGACAAAAAGATACATGCACTCGCATATTTATCACAGTACTATTCACAATAGCAATGACATGGACTCAACCTAGGTGCCCATCAACAGTGGACTGGATAAAGAAAATGGGGTACATATATACCTTGGAATTCTATACAGCCATAAAAAAGAATGAAATAATGTTGTTTACAGCAATGTGGTTGCAGCTGGAGGCCATTATGCTACGTGAATTAACACAGGAACAGGAATCCAAATACTGCATGTTCTCATTCGTAACTGCGAGCTAAACATGAGGTACTCATGACATAAAGATGACAACAATAGAAACTAGAGACTATTAGAAGAAGGAGGAATAAAGAGAGACAAGGGTTGATAAACTATGGGGTACTATGTTCATACCTGGGATGGGATCATTCATACATCAGACCTCAGCATCATGCAATATACCCATGTAAGAAACCTACACATGTACCCCTGAATCTAAATAGAAGTTAGAGGGAAGAAAGAATACTGTTTATACACTGCTTCTTTTCTGTAGCAGTGGATATTCTCATTTCAGATTTAGTTTTTCTAAGCAGAATGTATCGAAGTTTTGTAATGATTCTTTCTTCTCTCTGTAGGGGAGTAGGTTGCATCTTTGTTGAAATGATCCAAGGAGTTGCTGCTTTTCCAGGAATGAAAGACATTCAGGATCAACTTGAACGAATATTTCTGGTAAGTCCTTTACAGAGTATTTATGAGAAAAATTGATTTCTAATTCTATAGCAGTCTGTGGAAAATAATTTAAAACAAATTTGTTGTCACATTTAGTTCTAATATGTTTTGCACCTTTGAAAAAGCAGGAAATCAGCTAAGAATTGTGTTTTTATACTACTATACGTGAATAACATGTCAAAATGGTAGGAATGAATAGGGCATGAGAGGCAATATAGAGAAAGTAATGGGTTAAAAATGAGGGCTCTGACAGAATTCCAAATAATTAATATAGATACCCCCTCTCCTTCAAACAGGTGGAGTTTAACTCCCTCAGCCCCCTTTACTGTGAACTTTGATAACATTTTTCCATAAAGCAGAGCATGGAAAGTGGGAAGATGGTGACTCTCAATGGAGACACCAGTAAAACAGTACTTCAGTCAGGTCTTCAAGGCTATCATCATAAAGATAGGTCATGTTGTTGGTGTGTACCCTTGATATGATGTGTTGATAATGGCACCTCACCTCTGTGGTCTTCCTCCTCAAACCATAACCCCAGTTAAATTGTAAAAAATACATCACACAAGTCAAAAATGACAGACATTCTATAAAATACATGACTAGTATTCTTCAAAACTGTCAAGGTCATCCAAAACAAGGAAAGATTGAGAAACTGTCATAAATCACAGGAGGCTAGGGGAGACATGACAACTCAATGTAATGTGGTCTTCTGGATGAAATACTAGGAAAGAAAAACATTATTATGTATGTTGTTTAGTTAATGTACAAATGTGAGTTTCTTAGCTGTGATAAATGTACCATATTATATAAGATTTAACTAGAGGAGGAAACTGGGTGAGGGGTATACATGAGCTCTCTGTATTATGTTTTGTAACTTTTATGTAAATCTAAAACTATCCTAAAATTAAAAGCTTACTTAAACTTTTGAAAATATGTCAAAAGTAAGTGTTCTGGATCCAGACTATCTGGGCTTATCACCCTTCTCTGTCACTTTTTAACCATGGGATTTTAAGCAAGGGACTTATTAGCTCTCTGAGCTTTAGTTTTCTCATGGGTGAAATGAGGGATAATAATAACACCTGCTTCATAGGTGGCTTTGAAGAATAATTGACTAATATTCAAAGTTCTTTTAGGACTGTGCTTGGCACATAGTAAATACTTTACATGTATAAAAATCGTTGTAATTTTCAGTACATCATTTTATGCCAAATATTTTTATTCAGTAGAGTTTCTACATTAGCTAATATTCATATAAACCTATTATTTAAAACATGAAATCAGAGTTAGACAAATTAAGTAAGTGCAACATTAAAATATAGCTATCAATATGAATAGAATAGAATAGAAACTGCAAAACATAGTGATATCAACTGAGTCTCCATCATTATTGTGTTCCCCTTACTTACAGCAATAAAATAAGAAAAGAAGACTGGAAACTAGGAAATTAAAGCATGTGTGACTCCTCCACACAGTAGTCTATATCCCTGTGAGTCACTGTGCACTAACAACAAATGGACAATCAGCAAAGTCCCTAACACAGAAACCTTCCTCAAAGTGTTGTCCTGTTGGTTTAATTCTGTCAGAAACAATCTGTATCCACTTCCTTTCAATTTTATTTTATTTGATATCTATAAATGCTCATACACAAATGTTAACATGATTATAAAAATAGTATATCTTTATAATGGAAAATTCCTACAATGTCAAAATGAATACAAGCTGAAAAATTACCCTTTGTCCTACTACCCAGAGAAAACCACATCTAGTATTTTGACATATATCCTCTATAGATATTTTCTATACATATTTGAAAAGATTGAATCATAGCTTGTATATTCTTTTGGAACCAGCTATTTTCACTGAACAATTTGTAACTTATACCTTTCAATGACACATAAATTCAGAAACCTATCATCATTCTTAATGACTGGGGAGTGTTTCATTGTATGGATGAGATATTATTTTCTTAACCAGCCCAATATTGACAGCTTGTTTACAGTTTTCCACTATAATAAAATGCTGCCAGAAACATTCATTGCACAGTCATCCTGTTAGTTAAGAATAATTATTATAATAAGAAGTCCTTATTTTAACAAAATTTAATTTTCATAAATGTATTGACTACTTCTTCATGTCCATCCCTTCATTTAAATTGATGAAACCCTCTCTTCTGTCTGCTCCCAAGAAAATATTTCTTATTCACTTTATTGAGATTGTACTGAGTCTATAGAAATAATACAAAATTGTACTTTCTTATCTAAGATTAAGTTATTCAATTTTATGGCTGTTATCATAAATGTACAGTTTTTATAAACATGTTTGTTTCTTTGTTCTACTCAAGACTTTATTCAAATTTAATTCTTTTAAATAACTTTCTCATGATAATTTTCTTAAAAATATAAACTTTTCCATATATTTTATGTTGACAAAAATAGCCTAGAGGAAATTTTAATGGTCTGTAGTTTATATAAGTTTTTATGCAATAACGTATCTCCAAATACTTAGCATTTTTATTTATGTAAAGCTCATGCATAATACTAATAATAGTATCACTAAATTATATTCTGAGAATAATTTTCTAAGCTTTAGACTCCACTTTTCACTCTGATAGCTGTTGAACAATAATTATGTAACCTTGTCAAATTACTGATTTATGCTAGAATTATTACTCTACTGTATTTGAAAGCAGAAAACTTTAAAAGGGGTATTATACTGAAAGAAATAGCTCTACTTATATATTACTTTAGGTTAAATATAAAGGGAAAGAAAGGGTTATGTAAGAGATACGTTATACAGCAAAAGAACCAAAATATGAGTTTTATAAAACATAATTTATTGGCGTAGCTTAGTCAGAGCATTCATTTGAAATCTTTGTTTAACAGGAGTAATTTCCATTGGGTAATATCTTGTTGGATTACTTCCTGTATGAAATTTTTGCTATTATTTTTTTAATTTTATGGCATTAGGTTCCTAATTTTATGGGTATTCAGAAACCTTTGAGCTATGACTAGGCTTTTAATAAGTCAGAGAAATAAATCATTTTGAATTTCCTATGGGATTATTGATGCACTAAACTACCATTGCTCTCATTAGCGCACAGAGACCCTCAAATGCAGATAAGCATCATGATTTATGGCAATAACCCTTTCATTTACTGTAGTTATTTTACACGTGTAATGCCTCTTACAGTAAAATGTCCTTTGGTAATTAGGAAATGAAGATCATCATCTATATAAAATTACTGCTTTAGAATTAAATGATGTTATGTTTTGCCCTGAAGAATTAGACAAAGCCAGATGAAGAGAAATCTAAAGACTTCTTTTGACATTAAATATTATCATCGTAAATATTTTATTTTCTCTACTGGATTGTTTGAATTTGCAAATATTAGCTATATATCACACAAGTAGTCTCTCTCAGGACTGGTATGATCATTGGAGGAGGAAATTTTACAAACCCAGTATGCTTAAATCACTGAGAAAAAAAAGAATGCTTTTTCTCTGTGACCTTTAATGTCTAATCTGGAGAGGAATGACTATTAAATAGTAATTAAATTCGCTTTAACAGACCTCTAAGATAAACTGCCAGAGACTCTTTTCTAAACTGGCAATTGTATATCTGGCCTCTGGTAAAGCATTGCCAAGGAGATAATCAACCTTGAAAAGTCATGAAACGGGATTATTTGTTTGTTTTGTGTTTTAATATGAGGATTAAGTTCATTCATTTGCCTGTGAACTGTATATAGAAAGATGATTAATAACTTTGAAACACAAAATTAATAGCTTGTTACCCAAGACAGCTAATATAATTAGCTCCCACACACTGAGTCTTTATAAAATTTGTGAAAGGAAACAAAGATCGGTTTGTAAAAGTCTTTACATTTTTCTTTCTAAGGTTCTTTTTGCCCTATTCTCTTTTTTCTTCCTTTGGTTGAAGGGAGCAGTCACAATTTTAACAAGTTCAATGAATTCGTTTCTGGAACATAATAACCATGTTCATATATATAAGGTGAGCTGAGATATGCTACAATTTGAAATTTCACCATTAAATCATTTTCCTTGACACTGTCATACTTACATGCAAGGAAGGAAGGAAGATGATGGAATTTTGATAAATTATATTCAAGACATTTTGAACTGCCAGGTAAATAGGCACCTATTTCTCCAAGCAGTAACTCTGCTCTTAGGCGGGAAGAGTATTTTTTTTTCACTTCTTTAGCATTGCTTATTTTTTAATGTGGCCCGGTGTATTCTATTCACCTCCATTAGTTGGAAAATAAGCAGCAAATGCATTCATCCAGGTGAATATATATTCAGAATGACAAAATTACAACTAATAAAAAATTGTATTCTAATCATATTATTCTGAATTGAAAAAGAAGGGTACTTAGTGCAACCCTGGGAATATGTGTCTCTCTCGCTTCAAAACAGCTGAACAAATGGCAGGGAATGCTTGCACAGCTGTCTGAAACCTTTGGCAGATGTTTCTGGGTCTCTGTGGCTCATGGCCCACTGTATAACAGTCATGACAAAGGAGCTGGCATGATTCTGTTTTTCAGATCTGTTCTTTTTCTCTCTGTCTTTGAATGTTGATAACCCTGACAATCACACCTTTCCTTGTCACCTGAGTTTCCTGGCTTACAATGAAATTTCATCCACCTATTGTTAAATTATTGTACATTATTTGATTGTACATCATTACCGTTACTGGATTTGCTTTAAGTCATTCCTGCCATACTGCATCAGCAGTTACTCTGTAGCTCTAGGTACAATGACGATGTAAAAGAATTATGTGTCGTGATGTCAGCCTGGAGAAAATGACCATGACAATCAAGGCAGGTGGGCAAGACATACTTTAGAAATGGAGTCATGAATAATTGCTGAGCAATTGATCAGCAGATGTGAGACCTAGCAGTAACAGTGGATTCGATATTCGTCAAAATACTGAACTCTAAGAGTTAAATATTGTGCTCTAATCCAAGGTGTTTTTTTTGTTTTCTG